TCTCTCTCTCTCTCTCTCTCTCTCTCTCTCTCTCTCTGTCTCTCTCTGTCTCTCTCTCACTCGCACTCACTGCCCCATACCCTTCCCCTCTCTCTTTCGGAGGAGTCGGAGTCGTGCGCGGCGGCGGCAGGGCGCCCAGCGTGTTAGGCAACCCGGCCGCAGCCACGCGCAGCGGGAAGCCTATCCCGCGCTTATTAGGGGCTCTTGTCCGGCGGCTGGCCGGCGGCGCCAGTCTGTGGCGGGGCGGGGTGGTGTGTGGCCGGGCTTGGTCGGGCAGCCAGCAAGCGGGGGTAAGACTACCACAAACACGACACGAACCCGTATGACAAATTGGCTTTGCTTTTGGGGATCTTCAAGTCGTGCCTCTAGACAACACACTCTTAAACCGTTGCAAGTCTGACAAGAAGAAAACACATTGGTAATTTTTAAAACTATTTTGCTTTCTTTAATCGTTCTGTCGCTTTTCCCCATTTCTTCGTTATTTTTTTTTGTCCTGCTGCTTCCGCTCCTTTGTCCCTGACAGTGTCGTCCAGGCTCATCTCTGGCGGAGGAGGTGGAGGAGGAGGATGAGGATGTGGAGGACGAGGATGTGGAGGAGGAGGAGGAGGAGCGTCGCGCGGCTCAGGGCGCGTTAGAGTACACCTGACAAGTACCAGCGGCCGCGTGCGTGTCTTTTGTTTTGTGTCACTGTCCTGTCCCCTCTCCCCGCCCCCGCCGGGTTGGGCAGGTGAAACATGGCCCCTCTCTGTGTAAGGTAATCAGCAGGTGTGTGTGTGTGGGAGCTGCACGTCTCGTCCCCTTACCTCCCTACCGCTGCGCACCCCACCCCGCCCCCCTTTCCTTTTTTTCGGGCTTTTCTGTCCAGGGGGAGCCCCCCCCCCCTCTCTGTATCCCCCACCCCCCCTCGGGGCGCGACACGCGGCGGGTCAGCAGTGCGCGGTGCTGCTTGTCACTCGGAGTGACACCGCTGCTGCTCCTGCTGCTCCAGCCCCGCCGGCCGCTACCGCTCCAGGCGCTGCTCGGGGGCTCCTCCTGGAGAGTGTCGGCGCCGGCGCCTGCAGGTGCGGGGCGTGCCCCTCTCCCACCTTATTGCCGAAACAAACAACGGCGCGCGGCAGCCTGAAACTGGAGAAGGGCTTAAGTACCGGCCGTGAGTGCCTGCCCGCCCGCCCTCGTGAAGAGCGCGGCAGTGTACACCAGCGCGGCATAAGGGCTGCCCGTTTTACGCGCGAAAGCCGAATGGCGAACGACGACGGCGATGGCGACATTTTTGGAGGGAATGCCCGCGTTGTACGTCTCTGTTCGGCTGCCGGGTGGCGCCGCGCTGCGGCCGAGGGGGGCGGGGGGAGAAATAAAAGAAAGAGCTCGGCCGTGTTTATTTCCCCGAGG